CAGAGAGAGAGGGAGACACAGAATCGGAAACAGGCTCCAAGCTCTGAGCCATCAGCCCAGAGCCCGACGCGGGGCTCGAACTCACGGACCGCGAGATCGTGACCTGGCTGAAGTCGGACGCTCAACCGACTGCGCCACCCAGGCGCCCCAAGTGGTTCCTGTTAAAATAATACGTATTTCTGGGGCGCCTGGGTGGCTCAGTCAGATGAGCGGCCGACTCTGGCTCAAATTCAGCAGCTGCAAATTCAGGGGCCTGGGACGTTTCTCCAGAGCCCCGGGGAGAGGCCGATGTTCATCATAAGGGCCAGAAAGAGGCCTGGGCTTTGACTCCTCCGACCCAGGCCAAGACCGACCAGGCCCTCACAGGGCCGGGGCCGGGACTCCAGGACCTCACAGAATGGGGGCATTTTTCAAGGCACGTATGTATTGAGGACCATTCTGTGAAGTACAAATGAGCTAGACACTTTGAAGAGTCTTTTTTTTTTTTTTTTAACATTTATTTATTTTTGAGAGAGACACAGAGGGGGAGCAGGGGAGGGGCAGAGAGAGAGAGAGACACGGAATCCGAAGCAGGCTCCAGGCTCTGAGCTGTGAGCACAGAACCTGACGCGGGGCTCGAACCCACAAACCATGAGATCATGACCAGAGACGAAGTCGGACACTCGACCGACTCAGCCACCCAGGCGCCCCAGCCACTCAACGTCTTCTTAATGTAAGGCTCTGAGGGAGCCCCCAGCCCACCTTGGGCTCCCCTGTCTGGGCTTAGGCTGGCAAGGCCTTCCCATTCCGCAAGCCCCCTGGGGCCAGACAAGGGTCCCTTCGGGCAGCAGGGGCCTGGGCCAGGATATCCTGCACATTTTTCCGGATGGAGGGGGCCACAGCCTGGGGAGCCAGGGTAACTGACCCCAGGACCTCAGCCCCTGCAGTAGACAGGTGTCATGCAAACAGCAAGGGCTTGGGGACTTGAACTACAACGGAGCCACTTCCCAAATAGGGGACTTCGGGCAAAGAATTTCCTCTTTAACCTCAGTTTCCTTGTCTATAAATGGGCATAATATTAGACCCGTCAGGCTGGGGCATCGTGCCAAGCATCTCCCCCCGTGCCTGGCACCCAGAGGATGCGCAGGACATCGAAGGGACACTGAGTCCTCTGATCCCTCAACAAATAGAATAGCCACCCTTCAAAACAACAGGAGTGGCCTGATATCGGAGTCCTTACAAAGCCTGGCCCTTCTTGATTTCTGTCTCATTAACTTCTGTTTTGTTTTGTTGTGTTTTACATCCAAGCCTGGTCTAGAACAGCAGTTCCCCAGTTTTAAGCACCAGGATCCCCTGGAGGACTTGTGAAAACACAGACCTTGCTGGGCCCCGCCCCCAAACGTCTGATTCGGCAGGTGTGGGTTGGGGCCGAGAAGCTGCCGTTCTAGCAAGTTCCCAGGAGGTACTGACGCTGGGGAACCGATGGTCTGTCGTATCGAAAGGAGCCCCATGGGTCTCCGTCTGGCCAGAGACTAGGGTCACCTGGGGAGTTTTCAGAACTGCACGTGCCTATCCCCCGACCCGGGATTTCGGTTCCATTGGTTCAGGGACGGAACCCAGAACCCGGGAACACCCATGTATGTGAAATGCTCCCCGAGGTGATTCTGAACAAGCTGCCAGGTGAGAACCAGAGCCTCAGCCCGAAACCATCTCAAGCTGTGTGTGTTGCTTGGGATTCTTTTTTTTCTTTAAATGTTTTTATTTAGTTTTGAGAGAGAGAGAGAGAGAGAGAGAGAGTGAGCGTGAGCAGGAGAGGGGCAGAGAGAGAGGGAGACACAGAATCTGAAACGGGCTCCGAGCTGTCAGCACAGAGCCCGACGCGGGGCTCGAACTCACGCAGCGCGAGATCGTGACCTGAGCCGCAGTCGGACGCTCGACCGACTGAGCCACCCGGGTGCCCCTGCTTGGGATTCTTACACGCCGCATCCTCGAATCCTTTCTCCAGAGAGAGCCCCGAGAAATCGAATCAGACCCCGCCCTTATTCTGGGGGCAGGACTTGGCGTTCGTAGGCGCTGAATGTCACAAGAAACAAACCTTTTGAAGATCCCTTTTAAAAAGCAATACCGTAAGCAATTACTTGCTGGGACTCATCAATAATGTACACCCACGAAGCAAATGAAACAACCAATGTCCTAATTTATGCAAAAGGGTATTTGTGGCCTGGGATAACATTTCCAGGGGCTGCGTCACAGGCAGACTCAAAAAAACACCACGTCTGAAAAGTTCTAGACATAAGGAGAACAGATGTGATCAGCCAAGCCCCGTTGGATGACTCAAACCACCATGTCAGAGGCACGGGCACATCACAGCGTTTCATGAATGCAAGCACGGAACAAAAAGAAGTCTTTCCGAACGTATTATACCGCTTACAGGACACGTGACTCTTCGTAGACGTAAATAGGCGTGTGCAGCTCTCTCACTAGTATGCAAGGGCAGGCGAACATTCGCCTGCTCGATTTACACGTCCAAACTTTTATACTGGAGTTTGTCAAAAACATTTGGGACAAGCGCCCCTCTCACTGGGAGGACGAGGAGCTGCCCTACGTTGGTGCATACCTACGTTGGTGCATATATTAGCTTTTTTTTTTTTTTTTTTTTGCAGCACGATGGTTAGCAAGACAGAAGAGTCTCTGCTTCCAGGAGGAAGCGGACTTCAGAAGGAGAGAGACGACAAACAAATACGATGATCTGAGGAGTGCCCCGCTGGAAAGGGGAAGAGGGACAGCGAGGGGTGCTGCCACCTTTGAACAGAAAGAGAACAAAGAGGAATTGACCCTTGCAAATATCTGAGGGAGGAGAATACCTGGCGGCCAGAACTGCATGTGCAAAGGCCCTGAGGTGGCACTGCACCTGCAATATTCAGGGAGCAGTAAGGCAGCCAGAGCATCGTGGGAGCAGGGAGAGTGGACAGGCCAGATCTTCTAGGGCCCAGTGGACCATGGAGGGAGTCTGTGATGCCTGGTTCCTTTGGGGCTGAACGGGGCGGGACTTCTCATCTTTCTAGATCTAGGGTCTCTGTCCACAGATGGGTCCGGTCGTTGTGCCTGCGCAGCATTCTCGGGGCCTCCAGGATGGAAGTATTCATGCTGCCGACTTCCCCATCTGCCTCCTACCCGCCTCTCCTCCCTGATGGAGCCGCCAAGCGCAGGAAGGAGCCACAGCAAACACGAGATGGTAAGAAAGGGCTTCCCAGCTCCGTCCGTGGGAGGCAACTCAAGTCTGGGAGCCAGCACTTATTTGGCACCTGTTGGATGCAAGGCGCTGACCTCAGCTTGGCACCACGTACCCGCTCGGCACTCAACAACAGTCGCTATTGAGGCCGAAGCTAAGCGCCTGCACAATCACCCTTTGTATTTTGGGGCCCTTGAGGGTTTGCTTTGTTCTGCAACCAGGCCTGCATCCCCCTGGGGCGGGGTGGGGGGGAGGGGGAGGGCAGGAAGACAGGACGACAGTACCCACCTGGTAAATCAGAAAACTGAAAGGGAGGCAGAGAAATTGAGGCCCCAGACTCCAGCTCTCCTGGTCCCCAGCCCACGTCTAGCCAACTCACACGTGGGAGGATCCAGGCGCATCTGACTGTCCACACTCTGCTGTGTGCTCCTACCCTTTGGGGGCCGATGGGGACAGCTTCCTGGGAGTCCCGCTTGTACACTCGGGGGAGGGGGGGACCCACGCTCAGAAGATCTCGTGACCTGGTTTGACACCGCACTGCCGCCATCTTGAACTTCTTCCTCGTGTTTGAACAAAGGACCCTCTGTGTTTTTTTAGCCCCAGGCCCCACAAATCAGAGGGTCGGCCTGGACAGGGACCCCATTCTAGAGGCACAGACGGGGATCTAGAGGGCTGGCTCCCTGACAGCCAGTGGAGATCCGACGCGTAGCCTGGACTCAAGGCTCCAAATGCTGCGGCCTGCGGATCCCCACCTCTTGGGCAGAAGCCGCTGGAAAACTTCCGGGCCCCTCTCCCTGTGGAAGAGCCTCTCCAGAGGTCGGGGCTGCTCGCAGCAGACGTCTGTGAGGCAGCGCCTGGTTTTGATTAAATATGCAGAGTCACTCATTAACTCGCCCCCCAGATCGACTCGGAAGTCCTCTCGATATAAAACCCTCCTCACCATGGCCACCGGGCCTCACCCCTGCTTCCTACAGTTCCTGCCGGGAGCCAGGAGGCCGGGGTTCAGGGGCTGAGGACACGGAGGCAGGGGGATGGCCTGGAGTGCAGCGATTGTGGGAGGGCTCCCTTGTCTCCTGACTGGGGTCAGAGGCCATCATCGACCCGTATTTAAAACGGTCCGGGGTGGGGCACCTGGGTGGCTCAGTCGGTTAAGCGTGCGACTTCAGCTCGGGTCACGATCTCGCAGTCCGTGGGTTCGAGCCCCGCGTCGGGCTCTGGGCTGACGGCTCGGAGCCTGGAGCCTGCTTCGGATTCTGTGTCTCCCTCTCTCTCTGCCCCTCTCCCGTTCATGCCTTGTCTCTCTCTGTCTCAAAAATAAAAATAAAAGGTTAGGGGCGCCTGGGTGGCGCAGTCGGTTAAGCG